CATCCCAAGTGTTTTTATCAGAGTATAATACACGGAAAACTGTTTTTTATTGATTTACAAAATAACAAGCGCTCAAATATTCATGAGAAAAAAAAGCCGAGAAAAAAAATGACGCAAGCGTGTATTATGCTCTCATCAAACACTGCTTTTTGGCCAATCAGAGCGCGCGTAATATGAAAGTTATTTTATAAACCATTTATCATTCATAGCTCATCCACATTTTATTTAATATGCAGTCACTCTGATCCTCTCTGGCGACCATAATCCTTAGCGTTATTACAATAGAATGTTTTGGTGTTACGAAATTATGCAATAGTGCAATTATTTGTTTGATATTATTATGCAATAGTGCAATTATTTGTTTGATATTAAAAGGAGTTGAACGTTTTTGTCGTAGATATGTCATTGTCTAAGGAAAACACACAAGGAAACCTAAACTATTTTAGATTACGAAAAGTGCTTGGTATTGTAGAGGAACATGTACGTCAAGTGTTCATACAAGAATGGGATCGCCTTCATAAATCTACACACGGCCAATGGATCGATTCTAGCCAAAATGGACGTGACTTTTACAATATGGCTGCACCATGGGAGAAAGGGAAGAAGCATAAGCATTTATTATCAAACATACAAACAGGGGACACTTCCAAGTGGGATTGGTCTTGCTTTTTCCACGCTTTGTTACATTCTRAGTGCATTGGTAAAGGAGCCCTTGATCCAAAAACCAGAACCAGCCTGAAAACTTTAAGAATATTCCGAAATGACATGGCACACGATGGAATTAATGGAAGTCGTGTTAGTGTGGGAGATGCAGATTTTAAAGTAGCTATYGAAAAAGTCATAAATGCTTTAAAGGATCTAAATCGTGATGTGACAATCGTAGAGGCCATAAAAACTGAAACTAGCTTCGAAACAAAAGAGCTTAAAGAAATTCAGAAMAAATTAGACGAGGAAAAAAAGCAAAATGCAAAGTTAAAGGAACCAAAGCCCTTTTGTGAACTGCCACCAAAGCCACCTCATAAAATCATCGACCGTAAAACAGAAGTGGACTTAATATGGACGAAGATGGAAGAGCTCCAATGCAAGCATGATAACGAAGTGACCCATGTGTACTTGTCCGGTAACCCCGGATCCGGAAAAAGCGAAGTGGCAAGACAAATAGGGGAAATKTTTTGGTCAAAAAATGCCAGTAATCAGGCTTTTGCAGTTACATTGAACGCGTCCACCAAGCAAGACTTGTTACAATCATACACTGATTTTGCACGGCTTCTAAAATGCAGTGAAAGTAGTATAAACTCAATGCTGACAGAAAGGTTTTCAGATGATGATAAAATTAATCATCTTATTTCAATTACGAAGCCTAGAGTTGAGATGTTTTCCTCGTGGCTTGTTATTGTTGATAATGTCAAGTATGATTTTAAGGAAGTTTGGAGATTCATTCCAGAATTAGGAAAGAAAATACAAACGAAAGGCCAAGTGTTAATTACAACACAAGACAGCAATTCAATTAATTTGAGAAGTCCAAATGTGTATCACGTGTCTTTAAGTGGTGGCATGGAACCGAATGATGCTGCGAAAGCCCTTCGGAAATTATCAGATGATGATGATGATGATGATGATGATGATGATGATGATGATGTGATTGTACGTGAAATTGCCAGGGAACTTGATTATCAGCCACTTACTCTAGCTTGTGCGGCCTTCTATATGAATTCAGTGAGATTTGCGCATGACTTTACGTGGACTGAATGCCTTGAGAAGATACAGCAAGGAAGGAAAGACATCATGGGCAAGATGGAAGATGTTGTCGAGATGTCTTTGAGAGAACTTATAGAAAAAGATAGCAAGATGAGGCACGCATTTGAATTTTTATCAGTTATCAGCCAACAGCCTATACCAATAGAATATGTCGTTCGCTATGTTTCCAAGTGTTTACCAGATGAGGACGAATACTTGATGCCATATCATATTACACTTTGCTCGTTCATCCTTCAA